GTTGACCAAGACTTTGACCAAGCTGGAGCCGGTAAAATCTCGCCAAGCCTTCAGCCTATCCCTCGCCCTATGGATGTGCACACACCCTGTGGTACTTGCTGAGTCCAGTCTGTCTGTCTCTTTTTTCTACATCGAGTCTCTTCTGTCTAGGTGATAGCACTCTGTGGATGAAGGATAGGGCCTTGTTGACCAAACCCACACAGGCTGAGTAGGGCTAAAAACTGTCTGACGACTCAACTCTCCTGGAGGCCTAACCCTCCCAAGGACCTGTACTGACCGGCGGGCTGCTTGGTGTGGCACGGTAGGCCCAAAATCCGAATTGTGGGCTGTACAACAGGCCTTCTAAGTATTGAGAGACCTGCTGATCGCGTCGTTTTGTCTGCGGCGTTAAATAATTCCTGAGGAGTTACGGGGGATCTCCTTAAATGCCTCCTGATCAGCAACAGGTCTAGTAGTGACAGCCATAGTGTAGGTCTAGGCTAGAGATCCTAGTTGGCAGGATCCCTGTCAGGATTCTGTGAGTCCTTAGATTGAGTCAATAGGTCTGTCAGTCAGGGGTTAGAGTCTACGTGGTGAGGTTTGGAACCGTTAATCCGGTTGTGCAGTGATCACCATGGTCGACACCAGGAGTGGGAAGAGCACTAGCCCCTACACCCAGGAACAGCAAGAGAAGATGGCCGCCTTACTGAGGGAGAACAAAGAGAGGAAATAGCTCCAGAAACAGGCGAAAGGCAATCGCAGAGGAGCAGGCGGCGAAGATGAAGGAATTGGAGGAGGAGATGGAGAAAAAGAAGAAGGCTGGTGAAGAAGAAGCGGCAGCAGAAGAAGAAAAAGAGAGGAAACGTATTGAAAGTAGAGAGGAGAGTAGTGACACGAAGAGGGATGAAGACACAGAGATGGAGAAGAAGATCAGTGGTGCTAATTTATTGTTGGGTGAAGATGAGGAGGCGAAGTTTTATGTGCACCAGGACGAGAGGGATGCGTTAGCCACTGAGCTAGCGGCAATGGAGGACCCTCTGGAAAGGCGAGAAAGGGAAGAAGAGAAGAAGTTGGAATGGAAGTTGAGGATGAAGAGAGAGAAGAAGAGGAGAAGGGATGAAGTTAACAGGTTGACTGAGGAGGTGGCAAAAATGAGGGATTGTAGACAGGAAGTGCAGGCACAGACAGACATGTCTGCCAAGATGGATAAGGTGCTGGGTTATTTGGAGGTGCTGAGTGCTGCCTGGATGGAGGAGCGCCAAGCTAATAGGGGTCAGGATGTGGCCCTGAGTGCCATGCGGTCAGGCTTTAGAGATTTCGCGCGCGATATGGTTACCCATGTTGGAGGCGAAGTCAGGCGACTAAGAGACAGCATGGGGAAGTACTGCGAGGGCGCCATTGAAGGTGCCAAAGCAATAGCCTTTGTAGAGGGTGAGGCCAGACCTCGTAAGGAGCCCGTTAAGCTTAAATTCCCAGATGCATATGGGGGGAAGAAAGAGGAAAATTTCGATAACTGGGAGGCAAGCGTGAACAACTACGTGTACCTACAACACATTCTGACTGAGGAGCAAGTCCTCGTCAATTCCAGGCCCTCAAGGACGAAGCAGCTAGTTTTGCCAGGTCCCTCGCGCGCGCAGCCGGTTGTGAGATCAACCTGGTTGCATATTCCAAAGTCACCCCCCTTCCTCAATTCTTCAAACTCCCGAGGGAGGGATTTGCGGACCCAACGAGAGGCGTTAGAGCCTCTGATAAGTTGCAGACGATCCACTCGCGACAGTGGAGGAGTGCAAGAGCACTCAAGGGCGTTATGGACGACTTGGTAGCCGTCCCAGACCATGGGGTCACTTAGCCCCAGTTTGTCCAATTGTTTTATCGTGCCATGCCCGAGCCCCTGCGTGGGAGTTTCTTTGAGAAGCCGACATCACTTATGATGTGCTGAGTAGAGAAGTGGTCCTGTATGAGTCAAAGTCCATGCTAGTGTCCACTTTCTGGCACAAGGACTTGGACAAAGGAAAAAGGTGGAAGGGTCGTACCATCTCGGGCCAAGTCAAGGATCACATGATCCTTACATTAGACGAAGGTGGTACAAATGAGGTCCCATATAGTCAGATTGAGTGGGGCCTTGAGGAAGAGGACAGTAGTGTGGGACAGGGGAGGTCCTATGCTGCTGTCGCGGCTGGAGGGAGGCCGCAAGGTAGAGGAGGAGGCCAGGGCCAAAGGGGCCAAGCCATGGGTGGCCGAGGACCGGGCGCACAGGAGGTTGGCGGACAAGGGAACCGCCAAGTGGGAGGTAGGGGTCAAGGTCCCCCGCCAAATTGCCAGGGTTCTTGTCGGTCCCCGCAGCGATGAGGTGGAAGGCCACCTCAAGGAGGATGGCACCCAGGATTTGGGCTTGGACCAACGCGTATGGCAGGAACGCGTGAACTTGGGTCAGTGCGTATTTTGTGGTGACCCGGCCCACGTAATTAAATTTTGTCCACAGTACAGACATGCCTGATGGGCTGCTCAGCAGTCAAAAGGCAGCCGCCAGTAGGGGTCGCAACTGCCCCTACTTCAAGGCCATGTGGGGAAGTGAGCGCGCGCACACAGGAAACTCCCAAACCACATGAACCTATGGTAGAGGTTGCAGGCCCGTGCCTAGCTAGCTGTCCAGAGACCGCTTGTGTTAGCGTCTCTCTAGGCACGTCCCTCACAGGCGTGGCGGAAGAGTTGAAGGAGAGGATGCCAGCCTGGGCCAAAATGAAGAAGGAGAGTAAGGGACAACTGAAATAGTAGATGTAGAAGTGTTTAGAAGCAGAGTAGGGGCCCTCATAGACTCAGGGGCTACCTGTAGTTATATTAGCCGCAAAGCGCTGAAAAAGCCAAGGCTAGGATTAAAAGTCCAAAAGTTGGCAGACCCCATAGAGAGTGTCCTCGCAGACAACCGCACAATGCGAGTTGAGGACTGCGTAGAGGGAGTCCAGGCGTACTTTCTCCTAGAGAAGGATGGGAAGGTGGAGAAAGTTCTCCATTCCCTGACTCTCCTCGTACAGGATGACCTTCCTTTTGACATGGTGTTAGGAATGGATTGGGGAGAGGCAGCAGGGGCCACACTCCATTTGAGAAGGCTCCCTAGTCCGTCAGGCGAGGTTAAGATTGCCCGCCTGTTTCATGTGTTAGGTGTAGATAACACTCTGGCACATTGCTGTCTCAGTGCTCCCACTCTCGCACGGTTAGTGAAGGAGCAGTTAGAGGATCAGGTCTTTGTGGTTTATGTCAGACCTGCCACTGAGGCTAAGGAAGAGGTAAGTTCCACAGATGCAACCATTGCCAAGCTGCTGGAGGAGTTTAAAGACTTGACTGAGTCGCCGACAGGAGTAGTGCCGCGACCCATCTAGCACAGGATAGTGATAGAGCCTAGCAGTAGGACTCCTAAGGGAGCAGTCTATAGGATGTCCCCTAGAGAGTTAGAGGAGCTACGCAAGCAGTTAGACGAGCTCCTTGAAAAGGGTTGGATCGTCTCCTTTTGGAGCACCTGTCCTGTTTGTCCCCAAGAAGGAAGCAAAGCTTCATTTGTGTATAGACTATAGGGGTTTGAATGCGATTACTGTGAAGAATGTTGAACCGCTGCCCTGGATAGACGATCTCTTTAGATCGGGTGCAGGGTTGCAAGTATTTCTCTAAGATAGATCTGAAGTCCGACTATCATCAGATAGAGGTCCATCCTGATGATCTGTACAAGACTGCATTCCGGACTAGATATGGGCACTATGAGTTCATCGTGATGCCCTTTGGACTAACCAACGCGCCAACCACCTTTCAACGTTGTATGAGATATTTGTTCAGACCATGGTTAGATAAGTTTGTAGTAGTCTACATAGATGATATATTAGTGTTCAGCAGGACCCTCCAAGAGCATCAGGGTCATTTGAGGCAGGTCTTGGAGAAGCTTAGAGAGGCTAACTTCAAGATCAACGCAAAGAAGTGCGGGTGGGCCAAGACACAAGTCTTGTACTTGGGCCACGTATTAGACGGAGATGGCATTAAGCCAGAGGACAACAAGATAGCGACAATCAGAGATTGGTCGACGCCCCGCACATTGACATAGTTGCGGTCGTTCTTAGGCCTAGCTAATTACTATAGAAAGTTCGTAAGGAACTTTTCTACTATCGTCGCTCCTCTGCGCTAAAGAAGTTAAAGAGCGCATTGATAGAGTACCGTGTCCTCAAAGTAGTTGATCCGTCTTTTCTATTTGTCGTCACCACGGACGCGAGTCAGTATGGGATAGGCGCCGTGTTGCAGCAAGACGACGGCAATGGGTATAGACCCGTAGAGTTCATGTCAGCGAGGATGCCTTCAGAGAAAGTAGCCACCTCGACATATGAGAGAGAACTCTACGCTCTAAGGCGGGGCTTTAGAACATTGGAAGCACTACCTGCTTGGGAGGCACTTCAAAGTATACTCAGACCACGAAACTCGTAGATGGTTAAAGACCCAAAGCTAACTAGGTGGGCCGCTAAAATAGACCAGTATGACTTTGAGCTCAAGCCAGTGAAGGGCAAATACAACGTAGTTGCGGATGCTCCGAGTAGGAGATCAGACTACTTTAGACCCATAGTTCACTGTCTGGATATAGGGAGAGACCTGCAGGAGAAAGTGAGGCAAGCGTATGCGCAGGACCCTATCTATAGTGACCTCCTCAAAAGAGTTAAGGAGGCCCCAGAGACCGAACCACACTACCGCATTACGGAAGGATTGTTGTTTGAAAAGACGGATGTATTTGACCGCCTATGCGTTCCAAACAGTGAGGAAGTCCGTAGTCTGATCCTAGGGGAATGCCATGACACAGAGGGACACTTTGGTTGGCAAAGGACATTAACCAATCTGATGCGTGCGTACACGTGGCCATGGATGAAGAATGACTGCATAGAGTATGTTTGCAGTTGTAAAGTGTGCCAGAGGAATAAGACTACTGCACGCGCGCCCCTAGGTCTTCTCAGACCCTTGACCATTCCTGATCAGCCGGGAGACTCAGTGTCCATAGACTATATGGATACTCAAGTCAAGAGTAGACATGGTAAGAGCCAAGGCATGGTCGACCGATTTAGCAAGTATGCCGTTTTTGTTCCTTTGCCTGCAGAGGCATGCACAAAATTAGTTATTCAAAAGTTTTTTGATTACTGGGTTAGTGAGAATGGAGTCCCATTGTCAATCGTTAGCGATAGGGATAGTTGTTTCACCAGCCAGAACTGGCAAGACTCATGCGAGTTTACAGATCTAAGATGTTGATGTCGTCTGGCCGCCACCCAGAGACCAACGGCCAGACCGAGCAAATGAACAAGATCCTACAACAAGTTCTGCGCATGTACATTAGACCCGATCAAATCAACTGGGACGAGATGTTACCTAAGGTAGCTAGTGCATACAATAACAGTGTGCACCTATCCATTTGTCGCACTCCCAATGAGCTGCACAAGTCCTTTAGACCGCGCAGACCATTCGAAGGACTGAACCGGGATCAGATTCACAGGCTACCGCCCGGTACTAGGGAGTTCGCGGTACAACACGAGACAGAGCTAGCAACTGTTGTTGAAAACCTCAGGAAGGCCCAACACAGATTGATAGAACATGCCAATAAGCACTGTCGCCCATCACAGTTTCAGGTTGGCGACTTAGTCTGGGTCAAGTCTAAAGAGTTTGCACCTGAGGAGCACATCTCGCAGAAGTTGCTGCCTGCATATAAAGGACCGTGGCCGGTTCTAGAAGTCAAGGGCGGAGAGGATGGAACGTCCTACACTGTAGAGATTCCAGCACACCTCCACACATACCCTGTGTTTCATGCTTCAAAGCTGTTGCCGTGTGTTACAAGTCAACAGTTCCCTTCAAGAAGATCCATGATCCCCCCGGATATGGATGGAAGTTATGACATTGACGGCATTGTAGATGAGGATGTGTTTAGAACAGGAGGTAGAGGTTGCCCCCAGAAACAGTATAGGGTCCGCTTTGCTTATCAGGAACCTGAAGACGACCGATGGTTTACAAGGACAAAACTTCTAGAAACAGCTCCCGACATAGTTGGAGCCTATGAGCGGGATAAAAAGGGTAAAGGTCTTACCTCGGACTGAAATATTCTCGGAGGACCTCGAATTTAGGACGGCAGGAGTGAAACGGTTTTCACCTCTTTACAGTAGCAGACACAGATCCCAGGGTTCGATCCCTAGACCTTGCCCTATCTGTGTACAGTACCCGTGTAGACCCTGAGAGTTGAACCTGTGACCTGTGTATTCGTAAACAGTTGATAGGCTGTCATAGGTCCGTAGGTAGCAGGGGTTCGATCTGTAGACCTATAGGATAGAAGTCTTAGCGAGTTCCAGAAGTCTTAGCTGTAGTCCTTCTAGAAGGTCGGCAAGTGGGCAAGTGGTGAGGCAAGTGGTGGACTAAACCGCAGTGCGATTGCAATACGAGTCCGGTGGGATAGCAGTGAGTCCCCAGTCAGTCAGCGGTAAGGTCCAGTCAGTCCCAGTCGAGTCCAGCAAGTACCACAAGGGACTGTGAGCACCATGGGCCGATGGCAAAGGGCAGACCAACGAGTTTCAGAAGTAAAATCAAGAGGCAGCGCCCAGCCATTCATTCATTCCTGCGTGAGCCATGCGGAAGCGCTGCCACAACGACTTGTGCAAGGAGGTCTGCAGTGAGCCCGGAGCTGAAGTGGGCGAGAGAGAAGGAGCGTAGCATAGCGAAAGGGTAGATGCGGCCATAGTTGCCATTGCTAGAGTTATGTGTAGTTAGTGTGTGTGTGTGTTTGAGAGTTCAGAGTGACGCGTGTGGGATATCTAGGGTGATCCGGTGTATGTGAACAGTGAGTTGTTTGGGCGCTGAGTCGCCATAGCCAGTTGAAAGTGAACTCGTATCTGGATGCCATATCTTTGAGTTTTGAGTGGGCGCATGTCACCAGTTTGCTGCGCTACAGTTTACATGCATGCTAAGTGTGAATGAAAACGAGTCTGATTGCAGGAGGACCGAAAAGGGGAAAAAAAAGGAGGACCCGTCATGCATTCAGGCGAATGGTTAACCCTCTCATCTCTGATCCTCTTGTGTTTACTAAACTTTATTTGATTCACGAAGCAGGCAATCATGCTATTAGAGAGTCCTTTTTATCTGTGATGCAATGTTGTGTTCGATTTCATTCAGGCAGCGAAGCATGCATTGTATGTGTGTGTGTGTGTGTGTGTGGGAGAGAGAGAGAGAGAGAGAGAGAGAGAGAGAGAGACCGACTGCCTTACTTGTCTCGTGCTCCGTTCTCTTTGCTGGCCTTCTTGAGAGAGAGAGAGCAAATGATTGACCGACTGCCTTACTTGTCTCGTTCTCCGTTCTCTTTGCTGGCCTTCGTGCATCCTCGCCGCAAGCTGAGCTGACAGCAGCGGAAGACAAACGAGGGCGGGGGGGGGGGAGAGAGAGAGAGAGGGAGGGGGACACACACACACACACACACACAGAGAGAGAGAGAGAGTTCTCTTTCTCCGTCGTCTTCGTCCGTCCTTCTCTTCCCTTGTCATCACAGGCTGTTAGTTTGTTCTTTTAGATCGTCCTCTTCACCCTCCGGCTTCCTTCTTGCTTCTCCTCGTCCCTATAACAACACCTATACTTCTGCCAGGTTGCACCATGCCCGAGCTATGCTAGATTGCACAATCCATACGTGCTGGGGAGAGAGAGAGAGAGAGAGAGAGATCCCTCGTTTCGTCCCTCCTCCTCTTCCGTCCTTCTCTTCCCTTGTTATCACATGGTGGTCAGTTTGTTCTTCTAGATCGTCCTCGTCACCCTCCGGCTTGCTTCTTGCTTCTCCTCGTCCCGACAACAACACCTAAACTTCCGCCAGGTTGCACCCTGCCCGAGCTATGCTAGATTGCACAATCAATAGCTGCTGGGGGGGGAGAGAGAGAGAGAGAGAGAGAGAGATGTTTCTTGTCCTCCGTCCTCCTCCCTTGTTTCGTCCCTCCTGTTCTTCCGTCCTTCTCTTCCCTTGTCATCACATGGTCATCTGTTTGGTCTTCTAGATTGTCCTCATCACCATGTGGCTTCCTCGTTGCTGCTCCTTGTCGCGTCCAACATCACCTATCGTTCTGCCTGGTTGGACCATGGCTGACCTGCGGTAGCTTCGTCCATTCCGGTGTGCATGACAACATCAATAGGAGCAAGGTGATTAATGAATGGATTACTGTGTGCCTCTGTGTATATGTGTGTGTGTGTGCGTATTGTTGCCGAAGCCCTCCGTCCTGCATCCTCCCTTTCATCCTCCATCGTAATTCCTACATTGTGGTCATCCTGGTTGCTCATCTGCCGAGGTCGGGAGTGGGCAGGGTCAAGGATCTCTCTTTCTCTCTCTCTCTCACACACACATACACAAGCAAACTCACCTTCACATCACCTTCCTTGTGAACTCGCCTCCGCCTCCTATGCAGGGGTGTGTGTGCGTGCCTGTGTGCATGCGTGGCCATCGTCCTTTACTCGCCCGTCGTATCTGACCCAACCTGCACCGGCGCCTCCAAGCTCCGTCCCTCCCGTCTCTCGAACTCGAAAAGAACATGATTATGCCCGCCACCTCTAACACTTCGTCTGGCACATTTTTTTTTTCTGCCGCCTGTCTAATGCTTCCATGTGGGAAACTTTGCGACAGTTCCCTTTCAGATTTGAACATCAGTGAAAACAGAACCCGCGGCCTCTCCAAAATCGCGACGGAGAAAACAAGGCCCAAAATCACAAAACAGAGTGTGGTTCTGGCTGGGACGGCCAGCCTGCCGGGACGTGTTGCGTGCCAGTAATTTCGCTGGGCCCGAGGGTCGTTTGCTGAGGACCGCTCCATAAGTATTATACAAAACTATATGACAATCCTATGTCGTATTGTCAATATGCAAATAATCCTTATATTTGCAGATGGTGAAACGGTATTCACCAGTTAGCATAGCTGCTGCAGATCCCAGGGTTCGATCCCTAGACCCCAACCTTACCTGTGTATAGTATCAATGTCGACCCTTAGAGTTGAACCCGTGACTTGTGTATTTGTAATAGTGGTAGAGTGTCGTAGGGTCCTGAGGTCGCAGGGGTTCGAACTGTAGACCTGTCGAGTTGGAGCTTAAGTCAGGTATAGAGGTCGTAGCTGTAGCATTCCCGAAAGGTCAAGATCGTAGCTGCTACAGTCCAGAAGGGTCAGAGTCGTAGCTGCTACAGTTATGAAAGGTCAAGTCTACGGCCTTTCGGAAGGTCCCAGTAGTGGCCTTTCGAAGTTGCCCACGTTTAGGCAGGGGCAAGTGGCCAAGTGGTGAGGCAAGTGGGCAAGTGGTGGAAGTCTACCGTGCTGAGTCAACAATCCCAGCTCCCAGTCAGTCAAGCAAGTACCGCATGGGACTGTGTGCACTTCGGGCACAGGAAAAGGGCCAGACCAACGAGCTGCAGAAGTATAAATCAAGAGGCAGCCCCCAACCATTCATTCATTCTTGCGTGAGCCATGCGGAAGTGCTGCCATAGCGACTTGTGCAAGGAGGTCTGCAGTGAGCCCGAAGACGAAGTGGGCAAGGGAGACAAAGCTTAGCCATAGCGATAGGGTAGAGGCGGCCATAGCCGCCATAGCTGTAGTTGGAGTTCAGTGCGCGTGTGTGTGTGAGTGTTCAGGGAGATGCGTGTGGGATATCCAGGGTGATCCGGTGTATGCGAACAAAGAGTTGTTTGGGCGCTGAGTCGCCATAGCCTTTGAAAGTGAACTCGTATCTGGGTTGCTATATCTTTGAGTTTTGAGTGGACGCATGTCGCCAGTTGCTGCGCTACTGTTTGCATACATGTAAAGTGTGAATGAAAACGAGTCTGATTGCATTGGTATCGGAGCTGGTACCCGCTATTCCACGCGCTCTGTCGTGTGCAGGGAGTGATGCACCATAGCTGAGGTGGCTGCCACGAGAAGAAGTCCGCTGTAGCGGACCTGGAGGTTGGAGAAGCCGTCGTGCACCTGCAGAGAAGACCACGACGAAGAAGAAGACACACACACAGAGAGAGAGAGAGAGAGAGAGAGAGAGAGAGAGAGAGAGAG